ACGCTGCTTTGCCCCCCCCCCCCTCTTCCCCCCACCACCATCCACCGGCGCTGACAGACAGTCTGCGTTGCTTAGGGACATGGGGGTTGGGGATGGGAGGGTCTGTGCCATGTCTGAGTACAAGAAAACATGTGTACGCTCGTTTTTAGGCTCAATTAATTCATGTTATGAAAGGAAGACGAAGCTTCAGTTCCAAAGATGTGGGCTTTTATCTAAAAAATATCAGGAGCAGCCTTCCGTGGTCATCTTTTCTTCAACTCAGCTGCCCCTTTTTGCTAAGAAAACGATGATATTATGAACGTATGAAACCCCCTCGCACATGACAATGAGCGTGTGGAGGAGGGGGTGCGGGGCAAGCTGAATAATTGCCCTGTCCTGGTGCTCATTTGCAGGCATGGCCAAGTGCTGCAGTAGGACTGAAACAAAGGCAGAGAGGGGGAACCAGAAAAAAAAAGGGGGGGTGCGGTTGTCCTACTGCAGTGGCTGGACTAGCAGAGAAAAAGCAGACAACCCAGAAGCACGGAGAGCCTTAAATTCTCCGCTCATTATCGCAACCTCAAGCCACATGAAGTGAAATACATTCAGAGCGCAGAGACTCACAACTGTCCCAGCGCGGCCATTCGTCACCTGCGCTGGTGGAGATGTCAGATTGAATAAACACAGACACTATGAGTATAGTGCAGGAGCTTAAAAAGGATGAAGGAGTGCAAATGTGTCCACAAAAAAAAAAAAGGAACTTTTTTAGCTCAGTCTGTCAAAAGGTGACAGTTTTATTATTACACATACAGATTACACAGAGGGGCCCCGAAACCCTGAAGAGGCTTAGTCCCAAAGGGCTAACGAAAAAGAAGCCAAATCGTGTAATCTGAACAGCAATTTGTTCTACTGTAATAAGAATATATTCATATTTTGGCACTGCTACCTCATCAAGATATGGAAACTATGGAAAACAAAAACTGAAGATGCAAAAACAAAGTTCTGCTTTGTTTATGCATATTGTTGTTTATGAATTGGCCAAATTAGGTGCCAGTTTTGGCCATTAAAAGACAAAAAATAAAAAAGAGGAAGATTATGTGGCTGCCTAGAACAAGACATTACTGAAAATCCGCACCTAGCTTAAATTCTTTAGCTCCATTCCAGTTTATACTGGGGGCATAACAAAGAACTAATTTCACAAATTTATCTCAGATCTTTGCGACGTCACACCATATACCTAAAAATAAAACGTCCTAACTTTGACCATTCAATTTATCCGGCAGAATCTTTAAATAAGTCCAGCTAGCTTCACTGGCTAATCTTTAGCCAGAGGAGCTAGCTAAAGGAAGCATTAGCTACATTCTAAACAGTCGACATGACCGCCACAGAGCATGTTAGCATCTTAGCTAAATGTATTAGCTTCCTCTCCTCCAACTTGACCTCTTGCTGTTCTAATGGCAGGTTTATCGGCAACAACTTACAATTACTGTCAGTCATAAAACCATGAACACTTACTCTCCACAATTTTCAAGGTCCAAGAGGCGAATGACAGAAGTTATAGTAACCAGCTGGAGGACAAGATTTTTTTTTCTAAAGTAGGTGGAGCTAAAGAGACTACGTTTAGCATAACTGTGCAGTTGTTTAACATTTGATTAATACAAATTAATACTTCATGTTCCTACCCAAAAAGATTAGATAGAAACAGGTCTATGCCATCTTATATCCCAGAACACACTTATAAAACAACTAGTCTTTGCTAGCCCTTTTTAAAAATGTTCCGGAAAAACAGAAAAAGGTGTGTTGATAACCATTTTGTTTTGATTACAGGCAAAGATAATTTAGAAAAATTATCATTAAATTTTTTTACTAAAAAGTAGGTCTTGCAGGTGTAATAACTACATTGCTTTACAGGTCACTTTAAAACTAAACCAAGTGCCCAGACTGGAATCCGCACATGACTGCCAAACCCAAGAGTGGCCACCGAGGTTCATGTAAGGCTGAATCATAAAGGGTACAGTCATTAGTTTCTAAAAAAAAAACACCTCAAATTAGAGGGGAGGAGGGAAAAAGAGCAAGTCTAATCCATGTCATTTATTAGCCTACCCTGTCTTTAAAAGGCAGAGGGAATATAATCAGCATGTCATCATCGAGGTCTGGGTCCAATTTGCCGAGAGAAAAAGTAACATTTCAATTTCGGAGAGGCAAAAACAACTTCTGGTGTCGAATTCAATTCTGCCCCCTTTTGAATTCAAAAGGGAAGGTCGGGAATCAGAGCCCAGCTCTCTGCTTCGGCCCCATTTGGGGAGGCCTTTTGCCAGCGCCGATTAGAGACTGGAGGCTAAAGAAGCGACGAACGTAGCCGGTTTTAAAAAAGGGGACATCTAAATCCCAGGCCAGTGTATGTAATCGTACCGTACAGCGTTATCTTCTAATCCAGAATTTAAACGTAGGTCAAGCTCATACAGAATTGGTTTGGGAGTATAAAAAATAAATAGATAAAAAACCGGCCACTGGCCAAACCCCAAGTCACTGTGAGAAGGATTAACTGAAAGGGATCATCCTCTGTGTAATATTCATGGGGCCCGCTTCATCCAGCGGAGATTCCAGAGCTGATCAGAACGGTTCTAGACAGATCAAGAGATTGTCAAAACAGCAATGGAGGATCATCTTCAAGCATCTTTATATCAAGAATCTGGAGAGAACTTGCCGTTTGCATCTTTTCGGGACTCTCTCCGTGGTGGCTTTTCTCTACACTCCTTAAGGACGCCTGCTGTTTTGGGATGCCCCGGACTGACCCGTCGTGGTGGGTGACCCCTGACCGTGCGACTGATGTGCGAACAGCGACAAATCGAGCATTGCGTCGTTGTGCAGAGAGAAAAAACGGGGTTGCTGACTAATGCTGTTTTTTTTTGTTTTTTTTGGTAATTATTCAAATGCTAAAAGCTGCCAGCTGAGCTGTCACCGACTCGGCCCTCGCATGAAAGCATGAGTCAGTTAAAACTGCCAAACTAGCACGACTTCAGAGTATGACTACACGGGAAACACTCACGAGAGGTATTGTGAGGACAAAGCAGTGGGCAGATTAACAAATGAAGGAATAAAGGGGGAGTTATTACAAAATAAGACAAGATATGGACATTTTTAGAGCCCTTTAAGCACCGCATTAAAAAAAAAACAAATATATTATTCCAGAATATTCCAGAAACTTGTGAAAATGTTTGTGTGACAAATAAAGAAAAGGATGCTCGATAGTCTTAATCCTTTCCAACCACTAATCAAATTAATGGGGCGATCTAAAGGGTGGATTTATTCAATACGTGTTTGTAGTTGTCAATGATTTACACCGGTGTGCAAGACAAAAAAAAAAAAAGCGTAATCAACAGTTTTGCTTTTTGTTGTGCCCCTAAATAGCTTTCAGGGTCAGCGGGTTGCTAATACTCTCTCTCTCTCTCAGACGGCGACCTAGTAATCGCTGGATCTGGCCGACACGCAAAGGATTGGCTGAGGAGACAGCTCAGAGAAAACTGGACTTCAGATGAAACTCATCTGAAGCAAAGAAAATTAAGTTCTGACCCCCCACCCCCCAAACAAACCCCACAATCTAAAATGGCAGCACACATACAGCAGCATCCGCTTGTTTTTGTTGTCCGTTTGAAGCAAAGATAATTTGATTTAAGACCGTGGAGATCTAATTACCAAGATCCGCACTGATCTGCTGTCTGCTTTGAGGTCGGGATTTGCTAATCTGTCTCAGAGGCCATCAGTCGGACCCACAACATTCTTCTTCTTCTTCTTCTTTCACCTGTCATGGCTTCTCACTACTGTACAGTTTTGGTCACTGCTTCCAAGTCTTTTCGTTCTGAATTTCATTTTAACTGGCAAATGACCGAAAACCAAATCATTCTTTTTCATTCAATATATATATACATAAATGTAAATAAATCTGGTTTGGTTTGCTTTACTACTGAAATCAGACGTTGCCATTTAGCATGAAAAAGAAAGAAAAAACAGGTGTGATTTATGATTCATCCACCCGTTTTCCTTTTACCAAGCTCATAATGGAGGCAAAAACTCTCTTGGTTTTTCACATCCTTGGTGAAATGGTCACAAATAGATACGTTTTAAAGGAAGGGGCTGTGGTGGAACATTATTTTTTCTGACCCCTAGCTTTGGCCTACAGGAAACAGTTAGGAGGAAGGACGGTACATTTGTTTTTGCTGGATTCTGATGTGGTTTTGCAGTCAATTAATGCATCAAACATATATATATATAAATATGTGTGTATATATAAAAAGCTGTTCGTGACATATGCCCAATTAATTAAAAATATAACCAGATTTAAGGGAGAGTTGCTCATTATGTCACAGCAGGTGGACCTTGTAACTGGCAGCTCATGCGATGCTATCTTTACACGTCAACACAATCCAGGTGCCATGCGAACAAAACAAAAGCGCGTTTTTTTAGCCGCAAACTTCCAAACCGACAGGGGGGCTTTGTCTGCATGCTTCCAGAAACATTCAATCTTCCTATTCTCAGTATTGGTGCTAACTACTAACAAACCTAGGCTGGTCAAATCAAGGCAAGGGTCACTTTGTGTGTACAGCTATGGTTGAAGATTCACCAGATGTGGGGCGTGGCTATTATTTCTTTGAAAACCAATATGAAGCGTGGACCGGCTAAACTTTGGAAAGTTTGAGGTTTGAGGATTGCAGCTCGTCTGGCCAGTTTAATATAACGGCACAGTTAAATATTTGCTGCCACCCAATTCAAATTTCCCAGTTTCGTCTTTCAAAAGGTGTTTCAATTGTGCGTTTTGGATTTCGATAAACAACACAGCCTCTGTGAGTCTGGATATGTCTCCACAGCGTTGCTGCTTCCACTGGAGGAGGAGAGGCGTTCCTGACTCCGGTCAGTGAGTGTTTTAGAGAGCAGCGACTGTTCATTATCTGCTCAAAAAGCAGCGCTGCGACACAGTTCAGCAGGAGCGTGCCGGAGCCCAAACGGCTTCTTCTGGTTCGCAATTACAGCAGAGATGCAAATAGCTGGCCGTCCCCCATGTGCCAGGAGTGGGCGTCGCACCACCTCCAAGACCGGGACTAGATGAAAAACACAAGCGGTGACATGGGAGAGCTGGGCAACGTCCAGTTCCTGTCCAAACTGCTTGCCGACCACCGCCAGGCGAGATATGGACTTCATTTTTGCCACCCAGAACGGATTGTCTCATCTCTCGCATACATATGTGGACCCAATATGGAAGCACACATCCTCCCCCTCCCACGCTGACGGTCTAAAGATGTTCTGTGTGTGTGTGTGTGTGTGTGTGTGTGTGTGTGTGTGTGTGTGTGTGTGTGTGTGTGTGTGTGTGTTTGTGTGTGTGTGTGTG